CTAATTTTTTTGAAAAATTCCAATTTATTCAGAAAATGTTATGTGAACCAAACGTTACATATTTATTTTCAAAATGAAATAGTAATTAAAAAAATAATAATATTATTTAAATAATACCTTTGACATAAAAAAAACTTTCTAATAGTTTTTTGTGAAGAAGATGATGTTTTAACAGGACATATTTGCAACTTATTACAATAGGATGAAATATTAAATAATGAAGAAACACAAAATAAAATTCTTAAATGAATATAAAAAATTGCAAAATATAATCAGACAAGTAACTAATAAATGACTATAAATAAAAAAATTGGCAATAGCATTAAAAGTATATAAGGGGAAGTGTGCCAGCCATTGGTGAATTTCCCCACGTTAAGCCATCAACTTTTTACAAACCGCCTTGAATTTTCAATATCCCTCCTTCAATTTTCAATATCCTGCTACTTGACTTTGCGAACTTGAAGCTATTAATCGCTATTGATTAAACTTTCAAACAATCGATGGAATACCCTAAAACTCTGAAACAAGATGATTTTGAAGCTTTATCGCCACTATGTTAACCACAACAACCCTATGGAGGTACAATTTCAACTGAAACTCTTCCTTTATTTATATCTAGTTTTGAAATCGATCCAGATTACTCGTCGAGCCCATGGAGGTACAATTTCAACTGAAACTCTTCTTGTATGTAGATCAAGTTTTTGAATCGATCTAGATGACTCGTTGATCCTTTGTTGGTTTAATTTATGATATGTTATGATTTAGGGTTCATTATTGGCTTGATGGTTGTTTGTGTTTTTTTCCCTAGTTCTGATTTAGCGTTACCGTCTCTATCACTTTATCGATATTCTAGTTCTATGGCAATTCAGAAGAAGTCTCTGTGTCAAACCCTTCAGACATTTGGGTATACTTAATAAATTTAGAATTGATAGTTTGAATATTTTCGTTGTTCTTTCATATTATGTACATATGAAATCAGTTTTGTTCTTTTAGCTTGTAAAATCAATAGGAATTTTCATAGAAAGTTTTTGCCCGCATTTGGGATGATTGGCAGGGAAACACATGAAGCAGACGCTTCTACTCTTGGCCCTATTTTTCTAGCTTTTCATCAAATAAGGGGACACACAACTTCTTATTCATCTCTCGACCTCATAATATCAATCAATCAAAAATGCTTTTGGTTCGTTTCTGGTCATCTCTTGAATGCAAACTAAGGCTTGAAACTATGATGAAACTTAAAGCTATATTTTGTTGGTTATGTATCAAGTTCAAAATATGTAAAAACAATTAACCAAAATAACTCTTTGATTATTATGATAAAATCACTCAAAACTCACAATGTTTATAATGTCTCTTAATGATCATAACTCGATCTAAAAACAATGTATATAGACCTACATTCTACCGACTTGTAGAACAAGATTAGGACTCTAAAACCGACTTGCTTAAAATCCCTTTCTTACATGGTCTCCAAGTCCTACTTGACTTAGGATTCCAACAATCATCCATGAATCTCTAAGTCATTTTAGGGATGTCTTCGATTCTGATCAAGCTTCGCATTTCCTTGAACTTGGTTCGAGTTAGTGGTTTAGTAAGAATGTCCGCCTTTTGTTCTTCACCGGGAATGAACTCCACCTCCACTTGTTTGTTTTCAACACAATAATGAATAAAGTGAAACCTCGTGTGAATGTGCTTACTCCTTCCATGAAAAACAAGATTATTCGTTAGTTCGATAGCCGACTTATTATTAACTCTTAGAACCACTTTCTCCTGCGCTTTGTTCATGATTTTTCCTAGAAAATCTTGAAGCCATATTACTTGACATGCAGCCGCTGTGGCCGCCATGAACTCCGCCTCGCAAGATGATAAAGCAACAGTGTCTTGCTTTTGCGAACACCATGTTATCGAAGATGACTCGTAGTAGAAAATGTGACTAGTTGTGCTTTTTCCGTCATCCGGGTCAACATTCTGACTACTATCACTATAACCAATGAGTTGGTTTTGTCCCATCCTCTCGTACTTGATTCTGTATCCCGTTGTACCTCGTAAATACCTTAGGATGTGTTTGATTGTGCCACCATGTGATTCTCTTGGACTCTGCATGTATTGGCTACCAACTCCAACCGCATATGCCATATCAGGTCTTGTTTGCAAGAGATATCTAAGGCATCCTACCACCTTTCGATATTGTGTAGGGTCGATTCCGGGTTCATCTTTGGACTTCGACAATTTACTTCCTAGGTCCATGGGAATATGGGTCGGATTGCAATCATGTAAACGAGATTCTTTTACAAAGCGTCGAGCATACTCTTCTTGGTTTATAGTAATCCCCGATTCCTCTTGCTTAACTTCAATACCAATAATATGTCAATCTTCCAAGATCCGACATCTCAAAGTTCTTGGACACCTCTACTTTGAATCTTCTGATCATGTTCAAATTTGTACCTGTGACAAATAAATCATCAACAAAAATTGCTAAAATCAACAAGTTAGCTCCTTCAACTTTCAGGTACACCGATGGTTCTTTCACGTACTTTTGAAATTTCATACTCTTTAAAATCCCATCAAGCTTCGTGTTCCATGCTTGAGGTGTTTGTCGTAGACCATATAGTGCTTTTGTAAGGCGATATTCTTTATGCTCGTTGCCTTTCTTTATATAGCCTTCCAGTTGTGACACGTAAACGATTTCTTTCAATTCTCCATGCAAGAATGTCATTTTAACATCCACGTGGTGAAGCTCCCACCCATTTGTAGCAGCAAAGGCTATAAGAAACCGGATGGTTTCGATTCGAGCTACCGGAGTAAATACTTCTTGAAAATCAATACTGGGTTGTTGCACGTAACCTTTAACAACCAACATTGTCTTGTATTTATTTATGGTGTCGTCTGCATTTTTCTTCAATTTGAACACCCACTTGAGTCCAATTGGCTTCACCCCCATAGGCTTGTTCATGAGAGTCCAAGTATTATTTTTGTTTATCGAATTGATTTCCGCATTCATGGCTTTAACCCACTCCAGTTCTCTCTTCGCCTCTTCAACTGATATCGGCTCTTCATTGGTTGTTAGGATAAGCTCTTCGAGATTATCAAGATCAAGCTCATAATCTTGAAATCGTCTTGGAGGTAATCTTGGTCTCGAAGGGCTTTGGTTTGCAACTCCTTGTTGAACATTATTATTGACCAAATTTGGTTGTTTAATCTTGTACTTTTGATCCGTCTCCAATCTCGTGATCTGATTCAATTGGTTCAATTGGGTCGTTGTTTACATCGTTTCCTTGATTGTTGTTTGCCTGGTCTTCTAGGTAGTTCCATGGTATTAAGAATGAGCCCAGTTCTTCATTGTCGGTTATTGCTTCTTTAACCCAATCCCACCATTTGGTTTCATCAAAAATAACATCTCGACTCACGATTATTTTTTCTGTTGTCGGGTTAAATAACTGATAAGCTTTCGTACCCAATTGGGAACCAACATGCAATAGTGGTCTTGATCTTGCATCCAACTTCTTTAGATTTATCGGTTCAACTTTTGAATGTGCTAGACACTCAAATATACGAACATTTTCTGAATTCGGTTTTCTTTTATATAACTTTTTGTATGGAGTTGTATCACTAAGGACTCTTGTGTAAACACGATTAATTAGATTTGTAGAGTGATTTACCACTTCTCTCCATAAGTAGTTTGGAACATGCATTGCCTTCATTATACTTTGTGTCATGTCCATTAATGTTCGGTTTCTTCGTTCCACAATTTCGTTTTGTTGTGGAGAGTATGGAACGGTAAGGTGGCGTTTGACTCCGTTTTGATCACAAAATGTATTAAACCCGAGAGAAGTAAACTCACCTCCTCAATCACTTCTAAAAACTTTCAAAGACATTCTGATTTCATTCTCTGCCAAAGCTTTGGATTTTTTGAAGTGCGTAAATGCCTAACTCTTCTCTTTTATGAGATAAATTGACATAAATCGTGAAAAATCATCAATTAGTGTAAAAACATACCGATTTTGACACTTGGTTGCCGGCTTGATCGGACCGCATAAATCACCGTGAACTAATTCCAATGGTCGTTTTGCTTTGTATGTCGTCATAGTCGGGAATGACTTTGTTGTTTGCTTGCCCACCAAGCAAGATTCACACAACTGATTCTCATGATCAAATTGGGGTAACCCTTTAACTCGACCCTTCTTGGACATCTTTTTCATTGACTCGAAATTGATGTGGCCAAGTCTTGCATTCCATCGCCACGTATCTTCACTTAGTCTCGAATGAAGGCAAATAGGTACTCCAATTTGTAATTTTATTTTATAAATGCGGTTTGGAGTTATTTGTACTTTCATTAATAGGAAATTATCAGCAGCATGCATCGTCAAGTAATTGTCTTTCATCCGGATGTCACACCCGACTTTGGTTGCTTGTCCGAGACTAATTATATTATTCTTCAAATCTGGTATGAAATAAATCTCCGTCATCAATTGTTGTTTCCCCGACATTCCTTGGAAAGGGATAGAACCTTTCCCCTTAATTCTTATATAAGAATTATCACCGAATTAAACCCTCCCGACTATACCTTCATCAAGTTTGGAGAAAAACGATCGATTTCCCTTCATATGGTTACTTACCCTGTTTTCTAAATACCACACATCGATGTCTCGTGAGTCGTATCGAGACGGTATCACCTTCTCTTCGTTCAAAAATATGGTATCGTGTAGAAACACGGTCTCATCGGCATCGTCATATTCGGCAAAATTATTTTCTTGGAATTTTTGGAGTCGGTCCGGACATTTGGACGCGAATTAACCCAGTTTATCGCATCTGTAACAAATAATTTTGGATGGGTCCTTTTTTGGTTGACGGCTCGGGTTAGAATTGGAATTGGGCCTCCCACCTTGGGCCTGTTTGGAATTATTGGATTTTCCAGATTTGCCTTGCTTCAACCACTTGGGCCTAACCCGTTTGATGACCCGCTCCACCCAACTCCCTAGTTAAACCCACTCGAGCCATCAGTCCCCTTCCAGTTAACTTTTCCCTCTCGCTGATACCCCGATGATTAACCACCGCCAGACGACGCACCACCTCTGCCTGACGCCAATTTCGTGAACATCGCTCTCGCCTGAGCCCCTCCGTTGTCGTCCTCCTCCTTAATCCTTTCCTCGTAAGCCTTAAGTTGTCCCACTACATCCTCAAAGCCAACAGATTTTAGATCCAATATCTGTTTAAGTGATGCTACAATTTGGATGAACTTCGATCGGGGTAGGTTATTTAGAAACTTCTTAACCAACTTGGATTCGTCGATGGTTTCTCCGAGGGCTGCTGATTTTAAGGTGATACCGGACAACTTTCCGGCGTATAAATCAATTGATTCGGACTCCGACATCTTGAGCCGATCAAATTCCGACATTAAGGTTTGTAATTCTGCCTCCTTCACACGGTCAGCCCCAATATGCCTTGATTTGATTGCATCCTAAAGTCCCGTAGATAATTCTTGTTCACCGATTTGGATTATAAGATTTTCAGGTATTGATTGGTAAATCAAATCCATTGCTAAATCATCTTTGTCTTGATTTTTTATAGTTCCTGGTTCAATTATTTCCCAAGCCTTATGAATCTTCAATACAACCTTCATTCTTATTGACCAAACCGTGTAATTTGTCGACGTGAGCATAGGACATTGAACAGAAGTTGATCCAATCTCCTTCATCCTCACCGGAGCAGCTCCTCATCCTCCTTCTCTATCCGACATGTTGACTTGGCTCGTCAACAGGTAAGTAAATCTATCTCAAAGCCCTTGTTCTTGACTCTGATACCAATTCAAGTTTAGAATATGTAAACACAATTAACCAAAAAAACTCTTTGATTATTATGAGAAAATCACTCAAACTCACAATGTTTACAATGTCTCTCAATGATCATAACTCAATCTAAAAACAACGTATATATAGACCTATATTCTACCGACTTGTAGAACAAGATTAGGGATCTAAAACCGACTTGCTTAAAATCCCATTCTTACTTGGTCTCCAAGTCCTACTTGACTTAGGATTCCAACAATGTAAGCATAAGTACTAGGTATTCTTTATAGAAAAAAATAATGAATACTGAAGGCTAAAGTTTGAAGCTTGGCTTCTTTACTACACACAAAATACTCCAAACATGGACATTTTTTTTTTCTTTATGGCTTTTTAATTACACTCTAAAAACAACTTGAATTCACTATTTCATCTTGTAATTCACATAGTTTGAAGGATCATACGGTTTTTGTGTCAAAATTGCTTCGTTTATGTCCCTCTCTTGGTAAGCATTAATTATGTCCCTCTCTTGGTAAGCATCAGTTTAGCTCTTTTCTTGGTAAGATTCATTTTTTTGTGTCAAATCAGCAATGTTTTAACTGTGTTTGTTACATCTATGGACAGGTAAAAAGTGAGAGTGATTTTGAGTAAGGAGCTTAATAAGAATCCATCCTGACTAGGCCTACTATTGCCTTATATATTTTTAAGGTTTTCTTGAGGTATGAAAAGATATATCAACTCCAATTGGATGGATGCTTGTTGAGATAATTCATTTCATTGTATATCCAAACAAATAGATGTTGTAGTTTCATTTCTCTAATTAATGTTCAATTTCTATTACAATTTTAATGCAACCAACAACTCAACATTTCCAAGAGTGGACATTATTTAATGAGATGGATGTTCCATTTTGTGATGAATAGAAATATGGATTTTCATGTAGAGCGAGTACTTTCCAAATAGCTTTTCATTTTGTTTTACTGCAGTTAGCTCTGTTTCGTCAATCAATAGTTTTAATTTTATTTGTTATGTGGGCTAGCGAGTTTCTTTATAATTATATGAGATACGACCTTCTAAAAGTGCATATATGGTTAGTTATTTATCTTTCCAACATCATATTTTTAGTTTAATGATTGTTGACATTTTTCTTTCTTTGCATCAACCAAGTTGGCAATACCTTTCGTATCATTTGAGAGTGCTTTAACATGCCATTATGATGTAATTTCATGTAGTAGAAGAGTACCATGCTCTTGAAATTGTTTAAGTTCAAGTCTCTTGTAGTGATGGAAAATTCGTTACTTTAGGATAGATGATAGAGCTACTATAATTGATGACATAGGATAGATGATATAGCTCCTATACTTGATGTTGGGACAATACCTCTACAATAGAATATGGATGTTATTTCTTTAACACTTATGCAAGTGTTATGTAGTGAAAATTTCCAAAGCAACTATTTTTTTGTCACATACATGCTATTTCTTTGATATTGTTATTATCTATGTTTATTATGGTTGGGTTACAATAATTCTTATTCATATATACATTGCTTGTGCTTCTTGTTGAATGCAACAAAGATATGACTCTAAGAGCTGTTATGGTAATGTTACCTAGTTTTTAGATTTTGAAAAAAAATATTAAGAAAAAATTAATAAAAGGACCTGGTATAATACAAACATGGCTATATAGTCAAACAAGATTGGACTTAAGGCTGCAAGTTAGAACCCAGTTGCATACATCAGAACCAAGATATATAATGGTACAAAAGAGGTTGGACTTGGAAGAGAAAACTCGGTTTTATGAGCTAGAATCGGGCTCTAATATCCTTAAATGTCCCGGTTTTTTATTAGAAACCATGTTCTTTTAAGCCTGAAAGGACCCGGTTTTAGAACCGGGTTTTATTTCGTTTTTCACATAAGACTTGTTGCTCATAAGACCCGGTTGAAAACCGGGTTTTTTCATTGATTTAACCGGGTTTTTTGTGCCTTTTTGTAGTAGTGTGGGTTTCTTACGAAAGTTTCCGTCCTCATTAATTCCAAACCATTATTATGTAATTATGAAAAAATATCAAAAACACGTTTTTATATATATTTTAATATGCATTTTTCAGAGGGATATGTTATTCCTACCCTTTTTTTATTACCATACCCTCTCAATCATTACTTTTTAGGTAAAAATAATTAGAATCTGACATCATTTTCCGTGTAAAAGTGTTTCTCTCTCCTCTTCTTTATTTTTAAGTAAAAGTAATAATTATTGTTTAGGTAAATAGTTTTATTAATTATTTTTAAATATATATAAAAATATAATATAAAAGATATATCTACTCGTTTTTTGTTTGATATAATATTATTGGATAAATTTCATAAAAATCATTTTTTTTAGTTTAGTTATTGTTATTTTTTAATAGATAAATGTCGTTTCCTACACTTTCCTATTTCCTAGTGTTTCGCTTGGATTTTTTTCAAATATTCTAATCTTGGTCTTCAAAATAACTACAACGACGGCGAGTTAAATATATATTTTTTATTATTTAATCTTTAATATTGTCACAACAATATTGGTCATCGAAGTTTGATAAGTGAATTGGGTTATAGTTTGCTTATAGCCAAAAATTATTTTGTTTGTCCCGCTAAAGAAAAAACAAATTATATTTAAGATATACCAACCAATATTTTTATAGATTTTTTTAAACATATAATTTATTTTTCTTTTAAAATATATCAAACTCATATGTTTTAATAATGTTTACTAGTACTATATAATTTTTTGGTTGCTAAGGTGGCACGATTAACTCCCATTTGGTGGCTTAACTCCCATTTGGTCGCTGTCAACTAACATTTTCATACCATATGTTTTATATTTTTAATGATGTTTATTAGTAAAGGTAAATTTTTAAATTCATTATATATGTGAGGCACAATAAGTTAAAAAAAATTGTTATCGTAACAAAAAAAAAAAAGATAACCTAGATAAAGTAAAAAAATTATATTTGCTAATAAAAAAAAAAGATGACATATATATATATATAATATATAGATATATATATATATATATATATATATATATATATATATATATAATATATATATATATCATACTTTATAGAATTAAAAATATAAAAAATATTTTAGTAAATAGATTTATAAATATTTATGTATCTTTTAATGAAATAATATAAATAAGTTATCTATAATTAAACCAAATAAAAAAATAACATTTTAATAAATAGGTTTATAAATATTAACTAATTATATATTAAAAAACTATTAATAATAACTATTAATCATAATTTAATTATTAAAATAATTAAAAGTAGTAATGATTAGTAAAAAAAAGTAAAATGATTAGTAAATACAATGATTGGAAAAATGATTAGAGGGTAGAGATAAGTGGAGTTGGGGTAGGAATAAATAAAGCCTTTTCAGAAGTCCCTTGCGAGTGACTTTAATGCACTACTTTGGTAAAATTCACTTCCCAACATTACTATTTCTACTTATAGATTCCGTACAAGTCCTTTTTGCATAAATTTCAATCGTTTTATATGTTCTTGCTACCAAATCATCTGCCTTTTCGATTTTTATGTGGATATTGTTAGCCTCAAAGTCTGCAAGGAAGGTTCACATTTATATTTTATACCTTAGTTTATAAAAAAAGTTATTTCTTTATGTAAAATAAAACGATAGATCAAAGACCTTTCGTGCATATACAATTGAAGTTATTAGCAGAAGAAATTGAGGTCATCATCAAAGGTTTAGAAAAAGTAAAACATGAACTAGATGCATCTGCAAATGAAGGACCCGTTTTGAAGTTTAAGTAAATTTCCTTAATTTTTTAATTATTTAATTATTTGTTTTATATTTTTTGTAATATGACAGTTTGATGCCAACATTTTTTTGGTTATGTTGTTTGGTTTTTATTTTTTCATCGTTTTCTTTTGAATTTAACTCGTGTTTGACATTTTGACTTGCTTGTTGACCTCATGAATGCTGTATGCTAAGAGGGGAAATGCCGACATCTAACACATAGATGAGCGGATTCACTTCCTATTCCGATGAGATGTCAGTTCCTTTCGTGCAACCTGGAGGTAGTGTATTGCTTTTGCAATGTGAAATAGTGTTTTTACAAATAATTTTTTCTCCATACACAATAATTTATGTTTAATAGAGTTGTATAATCCTATATTTTTAAACCATATATATATATATATATATATATATATATATATATATATATATATATATATATATATATATATATATATATATACACACACGAAGAAAAATTGTTGTGTACCAATCAGATCTCTTAAGTAGAACACAATATGATTAAACCTAATACACTCCTTATAGAATATCGTTCACCAACCGTATTATATTATCATATACAACTTTATTGTATTTCCCTTTTTCTGGTAGTGAGTTAAGTTGTGGTTGATTTTTTTTTTCTGAAGATGAAAACTGGTAGAACCGTAGAAGATAATAATAGTTTGTAGTTTGAGAATTTTTTTGTTATCGAACATTTTTGTTGTTACAATAAATATTTAAGCCCATTACTTTTGAGCTGGCCCAAAGAAGTGTACATTTGAACATTTTATTGGGCCACAAACTATGTATAGGCCTAGTAAGTAAACGAAATCATTTTTCCACCGATGACCATACCTCCATACCCATATCTATTTCACACAACGTCTTTTTTGCTTCACCTTATAAAAACACCTTTTCTTTAAAGTTTGTGTTTCACTTTGTACACTTGCGTCTTACTTCACTACTTTAATGCATGCACTCCTATCTACCTTACGTACACAGCCTTTTTGACTTGGATCAAAATGGTAAATGTCAACCTTACCCCATCCTTCATGTATTTACCATGACAACTAAATCAGGTGTCGGTGGGGGGGACTTACCATATTCATACCTTTAAGTCTCTTTCTAGCTAATACAATATCTTATCGTTAAGTTTAAAAAGTGTAATCCTGTGGTCTTTTAATAGTGACCATAACTCATCACACTCTGCCACATAACTCCATTTTGACTCCAATTTTCTCTGAGCTCATGGCGTCTCAGATATCCCTCTGGTTTTTAGTGGCCTTGTTCATCACTTTCGTATGTTCTTCACAAGCTGTCACCTTGGAAGTTGGTGAGGAAGATGGCTGGACGTTAAACCCTGCAGAAAGCTACGTTGCATGGGCTGGAAGATTGAGGTTTATGGTCAATGACACCCTACGTACGTCTCTTTTTCTTGTTCGACTTCATTTTTATTGTCTTGATTTCGGTTTTTGATGTGTTTTTGACTGTTTGCAGATTTCAAGTATGATGATGCGACGGATTCCGTTTTGGTGGTTGATAAAGATGATTATGAAAACTGCAATGTTGATGATCCCATTGAGAAGCTCGATGGTGGTGATACGAATTACAGACTTGAACATGGGGGACCTAATTACTTCATTACTGGTAATAAATCCAACTGTGAACAAGGTCAGAAGGTTGATGTGGTAGTTTTACATATTAGAATCCAATCGCCACCTTCACCTCCGCCTGCTCCAGCACCTCTTCCACCGGCTCCGGCATCTCCTGTTACACCCCCACCAACTGCAACTCCTGTTTTGACTCCGCCTGCTTCTGCACCTACCGGAGGAAGCTCAGCCACTCCAGTTGGAAGTAATCCGGCGGACTTGAATCCACCACCACCGACACCAGCACCATCCGCAACACCATCATCCGCAACAGCAGTTGTTTCCGGTACCATAACTGCATCACTTGTGACGATGATCATTGCTTTGTGTTTGATTAATTGATGATTTTTAATTTAACATAATATTTGAAGGGTTTCATGATTGTGTTTAAATCTTGATGGTTTTGTTGATCAATTTCTTTGTATTGTTTATTTTAAGTTGTATTGTTTATTTTTCTTTAATTGATGTTCAGTTGTTGAGTGTTCATCAACCGAT